CATTGATGTTATTTCTCTTTTTCTGTAGTATCCTGCTTCTTTTGTTTTTTACTTTTTTATTGTGAAATATTAGCACTTAAAGAAAAGGGCATAAAATATAAATTTATAGCTTAATGAATTACTACAAAGCAAGCACCACCCAAGTCAAGAAATAAAACATTACCAGGATCCAAAAGTTTTTCCCCATTCCCTGCTCTCCATTATGCATGTCTCTTTCCCTTTGCCAGTTTTGCCCCCACTTAATACAAATGGAAATCAATAGCATATATAGTTTTTGTACAAGTCATCTCTGTTGTTGCAATAGAGATTTTATAGTTCACAGTGAGACTTAATTGAAGGAAGTGGCAAAGCTGAAATTGATACCAAGGGCATCCTAAACACCAAGCCAATGTATTTCAGACTTTACACCTTGATAGCTAGAATCCCACTGTGTATGTACACATGAAAAAATGTGCATACTTCAACTGGAACAAAAGTTCTATCACTGAGCTCACTGTTTTCAGACAGTGTCTTACTAAGTTGACTGGGATGGCCTCAAACATGCCATCCCACTGCCTCAGGCTTCTGAGTTTCTGGGATTACAGGCATGCACCATTACACCAGGCTGTATGACTTTTATTGGTTGTTTTGCTGAACTACTTGCTCTTTTAAGAAAGAATAAGATTCTTCTCAGAGGAAACCCAAGGTGAAAAGGGGTTTCTAAGCACCAAATTGAAGACATGACTTTATATGCTAAATATTTCTTCGCCTCTCTCTCTCCTCCACCTTTGCTTCCCTAACTGGTAGTCATAATTCAAAACTCATCTCTGCTAGAAAATGTCATTACTTTCCCCTGCCACCAGCTTGAGTATTCCTCTTCTGTGTTAGTTTAATTCTTTTTAAGTTTTTAGGTTTAAAAAAAAAAGACAAAAAAGACTTTATCAACAATATTATCAAGCTCTTACTCTTCACAGAGCTCTTTCATTCTAGTATAGACCATGAGAAAACTAGAGCTCCATATTATTTAGAGGCAGTTTCATTGATTCTCACAACAGTTCTTTGAGAAAAGTTAATGTAATCTTTTATTCACATTTTATAGACTAAAAACTGAAATAATTCTATGGAGTTTAAAAACCTTGACAAGGGCTGGGGTTGTGGCTCGGCAAGCAGTAGAGTGCTTGTCTTGCATGTATGAGGCACTAGGTTTAATCCTCAGCACCACATAAAAATAAATCAATAAAATAAAGTATAAAAAAGAAGATTTGTTTAAAAAAAAAAAGAAACTTTGACAAAAAACACAGCGAGCAAGTGATAGAAGCTAGATTTGAACCCAGGGAATCTGATTCTGGAATCCAAGCTCTTAATCTCTTGGCCAGGTTTTAATCTTTTTGTTTTGTCTCTGCCCCAGAGATTTATACAGCCAACAGTTGCCACTCCACTCCCCCACCCCTCTCCACCTTGAGGTTTATCTTGCTGTGGACCCTGAGATCAATTCTACCTCCTCACCTATGCCTGTTCCCTTGGTTGCCATTTATTTCTGTTCACCTTATCCCAGTCTTCTTGATTTCATAGTTTAAAGTTTTTAAAAAACTTATCTTGGGTCAGGCATGGTGGCACATGCCTATAATCCTTGAGATTTGGAAGGCTGAGGCAGAAGGTTGGCAAGTTCAATACCAACCTTAGCTAGGCCTTAAGGACTTAGCAAGACTTTGCCTTGAAATAAAAATAAAAAGGGAAGCTGAGGTTGTAGCTTAGTGGTGGAGCACCTACCTAGCATGTGTGAGACACTGGGTTCAGTTCTCAGCACCACATATAAATAAATTAAAATAAAGTTCTATCAACAACTAAAAAAAATTTTTTTTAAATTAAAAAGGCTGAGGATGTATGTAGCTCAGGGGTAACATGCCCCTGGATTCAATCCCCAGTACCAAATAAATGAACAAATAAATACTGTCTTGATTTTCTCTCTGCTTACTTTTAGGGAAGGAGCACAAAAGACAACAATTTCCAGTGGGTTTTAAAAAATTTTATGTATATTTTAGTTGTTGATGGACCTTTATTTTATTCATTTATTTATATACAGTGCTGGTACTCATACCCAGTGCCTCATACATGCTAGGCAAGCACTCTCCCACTGAGCCAGAACCCTAGCTCATTCAGTGGTTTTTACTTTAATGTTCCCAGCTTCCATTCATAGGAATTGGTATTTAAAGTTTGCAGTCTGAGACCTTCTAATACTTCTGATAAGACAGACATTCAATTTCTCTGATTAATTAGAATATGCTCTCTACCCACACTATTTTTACCTATTGATATCTTTGTAGATAGCAAGCAGATTACCTTATTCAGGGTTTCAAATATCTGTCATGTTTAAACCCTCAACTCTTTATCAACTGCAGTTACTGTGAGCTGTGGTCTTAAGTTTGAAGTGCTAATTTGGCCCATTTTTTTCCCACTATATTTTAGTAGATTAATACAGATGAAGAAAACTAAATTAAGTCAGGTACATACCTCTAAACCCAGCTACGCAGGAGACTGAGAGGCAGGATGATTGCAAATTTGAGGTCAACCTCCACAACTAAGCAAGACCCTATCTCAAAAAAATCAAAAGGACTAGGGATGTAGCTTAATGGTAGAGCATCCCCAGGTTAATTCCCAGAACCAGAAAATAAAATAATAATATAATAAATTATCTCATAAGTATGCTTGTGATTACATTTGGAGACACCCATATAGTTCAGAATAATCGTCCCAATTCAAGATCCTTAATTTGATCATCTCTCCAAAGGTCCTTTTCCCTTGTAATGTAGCATTTCACAGTTCTAGGGATTAGGGCCTGGTACCTATGGGTGGCCCTAATTCATCTTACTACAGTGGTGATCATAGAGACTTATCACAAAGTTGGCATATCGTAAGAGCTCCATAAATACAAGCTTCCTTCTTTCTCTATATCCTTCTTATGTATGTCGCCATGACCCTCCTTTCTTTAAAATTACCTTCAAATGCTTTTCTTGAGAGGAGTAGCATTATGTCTATACCTGTTAGGATAATAAAAATAATGACAATAATAACACTTACTAAATGACTATTGTAGCTAAGCACTGAGATGAGTTCTTTATCCATGGGATATAGATACCATTATAGTCCTTATTTTACAGACAGAGGAAATAATACCTAGGCAAAGTATTAATTTTGCCCAGTTTACCTAGGCAAACATACAAATAATACCTAGGCAAACTTAATTTTGCCCAGTTTACCCAGTTGGTGGTTCATATTAGGTTCAAATTAGGCTCTAAATCAGAGCTAGGGTTCAATTAGGTTTTAATTGTAAGGACTCTTTTTCAAAGTATAACGATGTCCTCAGCTATTATATCTTGCCTCTTACTTAGGAATGTGGTTCAAGTGTCTGGTTTTCTGACTTGGCCTCTGATGAAGATCTTTTAAGAAAGAGGAAGAAGAATAGTCTTCCTCTTCCTAACTTCCTAACTTCCCTTCGTCCTAACTTGTTTGCTGCAAATCAATGAATTCCTCGGCTGCAGGGATCATGCTGATTTATTTATATCCTAGGATAGGGCCTGGACACAGAATAGTTGTTCCTCTGGAATGTAAATCCTACCAGGGACTGACACTCCAATCTCTCTCTCTCTCTCTCTCTCTGTGTGTGTGTGTGTGTGTGTGTGTGTGTGTGTGTGTGTGTGTGTGTGTGTCAGTGCCAGGGCATAGTACATGCTAGGAAAGTACTCTCCCACTAAGCTGCATGTCCAGGCCTTTCAGGGATTTTTGTCCACAGCAGCATTCATGCCTTAGAAGAGTGCCTGAAATAGAATAGTTGCTCAATAAATATCTGTTTTCTCTATGGTATATATATATATACAGTGGAGTATTATTCAGCTATAAAGAAGAATGAAATTATTATTTGCAGAAAAATGGATGGAACTTGGGCTGGGGATATAGCTCAGTTGTTAGAGTGCTTGCCTCGAATGCACAGGCCTTGGGTTCAATCCCCAGTACCATACACACACAGTGGTTGGAACTTGAGAACATTGTGTTAAGCAAAATAAGCCAAACTCAGAAGATCAAGAATTATATGTGTTTTCTCTCATGTGGGAGCTAAAGAGGAAAAAGGAAAAGAAAAGTTGGGGGGACCAGTAGAATAAAAGAAAAGGAACAGGGGGCTGGGGATGTGGCTCAAGCAGTAGCGCGCTCGCCTGGCATACGTGCGGCCCGGGTTCGATCCTCAGCACCACATACCAACAAAGATGTTGTGTCCGCCAAAAACTAAAAAATAAATATTTAAAAAATTCTCTCTCTTTAAAAAAAAAAAAAAAGAAAAAAAAGAAAAGGAACAGGGAGTGGGAGGAAGGGAAGGAAAGGGGAATGAGGAGCGTGCTAGGGAATGATATTGGCTAAATTATATTTTTACATTGTGTGCGTATAGGAATATATAACAACAAATTCCTCCATTATGTACAAGTATAATGCATCAGTAAAAAAAAAAATGTGGATAAGAATACCTGTTTTCTATGTCTGGCTGGCTAGCTACTCTGGGCATGGTTTAAACTTCTTCACTTCTTCACTTGTAAAAAATAACATTCACTATTTATTGGATGTATACTAACGTATACCATGTGCTAGGCACTTAAATATATTATCAGTAATCCTTGCCACCTTCCTAATAGGTAATATTGATGGGCTGTGGATGAAGAAGGGAGAGGGGAGAAGTCAAAGATTTTTCCTAGGTTTCTGACTTGGATATTGATCCAAGTGATAATGAAACTCCTGGGGAGTTTATGAGTTTTTTTTTTGTCCCCCCACCACGCCAGATAAGCAGTCTCTGTGATATCTGCAGGTAGATACAGGAGTCTGTTCCTGTGGCAAAAGTTCCAGAGATGCCACCTGTGTACCAGTTAGTCTGAAGATGGTGGTGGTCTTGATCTTTCCAGAGCAAGGATGCTTCTTTTAGGAACTGTGGCCTTAAAGCCATTATTTCCATTGTACTCTAACTTGAACATGTTTATTAGTTTCTGTTCCAGATGATCGGACCGAACAACGAACCTGTCTTATTTGTGGGGATCGTGCTACAGGCTTGCACTATGGGATCATCTCCTGTGAGGGCTGCAAAGGGTTCTTCAAGCGGAGCATTTGTAACAAACGGGTATATCGATGCAGTCGTGACAAGAACTGTGTCATGTCTCGGAAACAGAGAAACAGGTGCCAATACTGCCGCCTACTCAAATGCCTCCAGATGGGGATGAACCGGAAGGGTGAGTGGTACTCAGTGCTCCTAACTGCCTGCCCTTCACCCATCTTGTACCTTTAGTATCAGCTGTTATATTTTAGAGTTATTAATTTCCCAAGCCTGCACTATACATCAGGTCTTACCTTGTATGCTCATAACTCAAAAATATATCTCCTGCTTATGGGAACCTCCCAGTTTAGGTGAGAGGAAAGACATAAGATGTTAAGGATTCTGTGCAGCTAATGCATAGGCCCTGTATGGTAAGACCCCAGTTAACAATTAGATCCTGACTGGGATTAATATACTCCCCTAGTTTTTCAAAGAATGATGATAATATAAAGTAGGAATTTAGATGGTTAAGTCATGTATGAGACAGGCGGTCTTGTGAATGTGGTATAATTTTGCTTACTAAAACCGTGGTGTATTCAGAGGCTGGATGTGTTCAGAAATCTGTATCTAGGTTGATGAAGAGTTTGTAATTTATTGGGAAGTTTCCTAAGAGCCATTAGGAAATTAATTAATCTACTAAGATTAATTATTAAAGGGAAGCTTTGAAGAATGGATTGGGGTAGGAGAAATAGAAAAACTACCCAGAAAGTTTTTAGAAGAGCCCAGAGGGATGGTGTAGAAAACAAAGTGGCACAGATGGAAGTTGGAGTTATGGAAGAAACTCACCCAATAGGAGTTGGTGACACACTTTTAGGCAATGTCAGAAGTTGAGGATTTGGATTAAGAATAATGGTCCTACCAGGAAAAAAAAAAGTCAGGCCAAAGGGCAGAATGGAGCAAAATGTTCACCTTGACAGCGCCCAGTTTGAAGTACCTCAGGATACCAAGAAATTTGTGAGCTATTGGCACAGAAAGCCTGGATGTGGTTAAGAGAAGGGCCAGTGCCAGAACACTAGATTATGAATAGAGGAGGACACTGTCATTCAGTAGAAAGGAGGCTCTAGAAGCAGACCACCCTGTAGACTTAGCAAGTTTACTTTATGTCTCTGATATTTTATATGATCTTACCTTTGAAGTGATATGTGAATACCTTTCAGAGTTCTGTAGAGGACTGAATATGATAATGTATGTGAAAAACACAGCATCATATTAGAGGTTCATAGCAGCAGTACATGAGAATAGAGGAGTTAGATTTGGTGAACTATTCAAGTTGGTTTTGTAGCATTAATGAATGTAGGCATCCAGATGTACTTTTTTTTTCAGGGGTTGGGGCGCAGGTAGTGCTGGGAATTAAACCCAGAGTCTCACATATACCAGTCAAATGCTCTGTCATTGAGCCATATCCCTCCCTGGTCACCAGATGTCCTTTAGACTGATTCTACTATGTGAGGGATAAGAAGGATCTTTTTAAGGGGCTGGGGCTGTAGCTCAGTGGTAGAGCATTTGCCTAGCTTGTGTAAGGCAATGAGTTCAATTTTCAGCACCGCATATTAATAAATAAATATCCACTGACATATTAAAAAAATAATTCTATACTTAAAAAAAAAGAAGGATCTTTTAAAAACTTACTTATTAGGAAAAAAGGTTAAAGGAGATATGAGAGAGCATTTAGATAAATTTTGGTGGTTTGTAATTTATTCATAATACTATTGAGCACTCACATGTACCAGAAACTTTTGTACTTTCCATGCATTATACCATTGAATACAGATAATAACCCTTTTATTGACTATTATTCCACTTTATAAATGTAATTTAGGGAGATAAAACTACTTGGCAGTAGTTATTTTAGGGATGGTTATGACGACAATAATTTCTAAATTAGAATTTGTTGTTAGTCAATCAGAGCTTATACATTATCACATGGACAACTAAGTGCTTCATATGTCTGTGACATAGCTATATGTGTGTTAGAATATCATGTTTACTGAATGCTAAACAAATGCCACAGTAGGACATTTGAAGTGTTGCTAAGTTTGATGGTCCCTGCCTATCTTTCTAACCTTTCTTTCCAGAACACTGCCTCTGGGATGATTTAAACCATTTTGCCTGTGCTCAGCCTCTTCCTTTGTCTAGAAATCTTTTCCTTGTCCACTGTCACTTTCCTCTTATGAAAACCTTTCCCAGCCACCAGTACCAAACCAGTACTCTCTTGGAGAGTCTGTAGTCGTCTTCCTGCCCTCACCCTGATTTGGTTTTTTCCTCTACTTTTCTCATTACCCTTTCTTGCCTTCAATGTGAATATTTTATCAAATAATAATTGTGGGATACCTTCTTATTCTCTGATAAATCATCTGCTTTATTCAGTTAGATTGTGAAATTCTGAGACTTCCAGCCAAACTCACCTATCTTAGGGAAGAAAAAAACTTATAACTTCCCTTAAGCATAACTGGAGATTAAACATGGAGTATGAGGGATAGAGAGTTGTCCATTTATTTGCATGTAGAGCAGGTCAGACCCCGTTGCCTGGTGAATACTGCCTCTCAGAGACAAACCCTGCCACCTTCTGGTTGGTGCTGAGAAAGCAGAATTAAAATTAGTTGTCATATTTTGAAGGTAAGAAATAATCTGTATAAAACTATGGTAGCTGATAAATATATACATTTGTCAAAATTCATAGAACTATACACCACACAAAAAGTGAATTCTACTGGATGTTACAATTATTTTAATCAATCAGTATGTGATAGGTTTGGGGGCAGGGAACTGAGAACTGGAATATGCACTATGGCAGTGAATGAATCTAACTGGTATTATAACAAGTCACATAACCACACTGAAGGGCATAGAGAAGAAAGGAGCTGACCTTGGAAAACAGTGTTTTGACTGTATATTGTAAGGCAAAAGACACAAAGAATTGTGTACAAAGCACTCTAGTTTGTAAAATTTATTTCTCTCAAGGTTATATGTTAGAAATTTTGTTCCTACTTTAATTGTATTTTGTGATTAATATATTGTAGGTGATGAGAGTCAGGTTTTGCATATCAGAGAAGATAAGTCAAGAATTGTGCCCGGCACAGTGGTGCACACCTGTAATCCCAGCAACTTGGGTGGCTGAAGCACGTTTGAAGCCAGCCTCAACAATTTAGCAAAATCTTGTCTCAAAATATAAAGTAAAAAGGGCTGAGGGTGTAACTCAGTGTTAAGAGTGCCCTTGGGTTTAATCCCCAGTACCACAATCAATCAGGAAAGATCAGGATAAAACCTCAGGTGCTAATTGGAATCAGTGGTATCAGAATGGACTCATGTTTAGATAGCGGACAGGAGGGTGGAAAAAATAAAAAGCAGATGTGTGAGGATACATGACATAGTATATCTATATGTATTTCCAAGCTCTAGACACTAGAAGGGGCTAGGAGCAGTTATACCCCAGTTGCAATGAGCATACCTAGCCCCAGATCTTAGTTTCTAAATACCAGTAAAAGGAGTCAGGACTGGTTGATTCTAGATCTGGGACAGGGAAAATATCAAATGAACCTAGAATATCTTGTGGTGCAAAAAAATTAGGAAATACTAAAGAAAAAGAAGAAGAAATGGAGAGGTGAGGTGGGCAGCAGCAGCATGTCAAAAGGACACAGAGCCCAGCCTGAAAGTGCTTCCAGTGGTCAAAATTGGAACAATTTAGGGAACAAAATAATTCTAGTATTTTTTTATTTGTTTTGTTCTGATTTGTTGTAATGTGTTTTTTTGGTATCAGGGATTGAATCAGGGGCGTTTAACCACTTAGCCACATCCCCAGCCCTTTCTATATTTTATTTAGAGACAGGGTCTCACTAAGTTGCTTAGGGGCCTTGCTGAGTTGCTGAGGCTGGCTTTGAACTTTTGATCCTCTTGCCTCAACCTCCCCGGTTTCTGGGTTTATAAGCAGATGCCACCATACCCAGCCTAGAATTAGCTTTTAACCCAAGAAATAAAATAAATATCCATGAGTTCATGCTGAAAGAAATACCTAAGTCAGTAAAGTGAAGGGACAACTTTTCCTTGTAAGAGAATTCCAGTTGATAAATGTTGAAGGCATGAAGGAACACTGTTAAAGCACCATAGTATTAACTGCTGCAGACAAGATGAACTGATAGGTTCAACATAAGTGACATGAGTTTAAACAAAAACAGAATATTTGTATAGTCTGATAATATTCAATAATTACAAAGGGGAAAATATTTTCCATAGAGAATTGTACTTTAGCCAAGAGGTCAAGGTTAAAATAACCAGTAAAACATTCTGACATTATTTTATACCTGATGTGATACATTGAGAAGGGCATAGGTATATACACACAGAAAGCTAATTTCATTCTCAGTCCAATCTCTAGAAAACAGACAAGCCCATATTGAAGGACAGTCTTCCAAATAACTGACATTCTATAGCATATTCTTGAAAAGTGTCAAGGTCTCAAACATCAAGGAAAGACAGAAGGACTATCACAGATTTGGGAAAACTATGGAGAAATTGCTACTAAATACAGTGTGCCATCTGTGATTGAACAAAAAAGGACATCCGTGGAACCACTGTAGGAACCCACATATAGTCTTTACTGCTTTTTGGTTAATAATATTATTCCAAAGTTTATTTCTTAGTTTTAATAGACTGTAGTCTATGGGATATATAGTGTAAAAGGAAGGAAAAAGGTAGGTATAGAGAACATGGAAACTCTCCATACTATTTTCACAACTCTTCTGTAAGTCTGACTTTACCTCAAAATTTTAAGAAGTAACTTAAAAATGCAACTGCCAATTGTGGCTGGGACCATGTATGAGCAGCCCTCTGTTGTTCTCCATCTTTAGATAGAGAACTAAATATCTTTCAGACCTTGAAGTTGGCTGGTCAGGAAATTAATTATTAAGGTAGTGAGTAAAATCTAAAGGAGGATAATGAGTGGAGGCTGATCCCCTCTGACTCTGTCCAGGCCCATGACTGGCCCAGTACTCCTCCTCCTCATCACCCGCCCCCCACATATACCCCTCACTCAAATTGTAATCTTTAGGATAAAGTCAGTCTCCTCAAAAAGGTTTTCCTTTTTTGTTGTTGTTGTTTTTATTATTTTTGTTTTTATTGTTTTAGTACCAGAGATGGAAC